ACAGCTGCGAACTAAGCAGAGAGATCGAAACGCCTCGGTCACATCAACCACGTGGTTTGATCCCACCAGGTGTGAAACGATCGAGCTGATAACGGTCTTAATTACTGCACTATTCAACCAGGCCGGGTGGTGCTCACAGACTCGTTCAGATAAACGTCTGCTCGTGCGGTCAATACGGGATCGACCAATCTATCATAGTCACCGCGGCGAGTAATGAACGCTTGAGTAGGGTTAGTCGAATAAGTGTGCGTTGTGTTACCCCACCCTCCCCACCAGTACTTGTGAAAATAAGGCACCTGATTTCAATTACTACTGAGTCACACCAACACAATTCAATTATTACACTCAGTTGAATAAAAGCATGTAAAAACTAAAGATGTAGAATTTCATTGTGTACAGAGCAGTAAATGAAGCGTAAACGGAAAGGCTGGGGGAAGCATTGGACAACTGTTTCTCGTGAAACCAAGAAACGCTTGAAAAGGGCCTACCGGGACACTTGAGGTCGATGTAAAATTGATTGAAACTCGCTGAATCGCGAGCATCAACTGTGTCCAGCATTCGTTTGCATCTTGTTGAGCGAACCGGCCCAGAAGCATCGGTAAAGCAGCGCCAGAACCTTCTTCCGATTCAGAAGAGATTTGAGTGGCGAACTGGGGACAAACTTTACGAAGGCATGTGATGAACAGCACCGGAACAACGGGCATTGTAGCATCGTCCATCCCGAGAAACAATGACCGCAGATGTGCACATAGACCTTCGAGTGAATTCATGTCGGGCTTCAAGGGCGCACTGACGAAAACAATCAAACGAAGAGATTGATTCAAACCAGATAGTTGCAGAATGCTACAGATTTGTGAAACTAAATGAAGTGTTACCCATAAGCACTTGAATAAATTATGTAAAACTGTAACTGAGCTTGAATTTATTCGGAAAACATTTTGTTGTATACTAATGGGCGATTAAAACAGAAAGCCAAATAGTTTCTGTGGTGCAATTGCTCAATCGTTTCAAGTTGTATTTTCCCTCTTAGCTGTGACACCGGATAATTAAATTCCGCTTTGACCAAGTTGCACTCTGATTGGACAATATTCCACATGAACTCCCTCAATCTGATAAGAGGCTGTCTGATCACCGAACTGTAATGTTTGTGATGTTCTTGTTGTTACCTATTATCCAATCGTGTGGTAATGACATCCTTGCTGTGCCCAATCGAAGTTAATTGAGGATCCTGTACAGGCTGGAAACCGTCGGCAAAGTATCGGTTTTCGTTCATGCTAGCTCGGCCAACTTCGAAATCCCCATTGTGGTTGGCCTGATCGATCGATTGTCCGTTAGTGATTTGCTGACTCATATCGGAGATCAGGGAATGAGTCCAAGCATACAAATTCCATAGCTGATTACCCAGTCTAAATTTCAACTTTTTAATTCCCAGCTGGAACACTATAATCGACAATGAATCACTTATGTATTTGTTTATTTCTCACCGGCTTTGGCTTGCGAACAAGCGTGGCCCCAATTTGATTTCAATGAGAGTGGAAAAGGTGAACTTATATACAAATGAGGATGAGGTGAAGAAAAAAAACTACAGAGAACTGACAGAACAAAAACAAAAAAGTGTTTTTGCTTGTTCCATTGTCCGTGTTTTAATATATTTCGCGTGTGATGGGAAAAAGTAAAAAAATGACCGAGCAATCTGGAGATTTGGCGTGATTATGTGCGCTTTTGGATAAANACTCAGTGTAGTTAACCATCGGTGACCATCATCCCGAGGTCCCCAGCCAGGGAGCCTAACGGAGCCTATGTGACCTAGTCTCCTGGTTAGGGTTGTCATACCCTCGTGCCGGGTCTTAGCTTGACCGCCCTTCGTTTTTTTCCAATCGTTACCGGCCTTGGCAAACATCGTTCGCCGCGGCAACCTGTCTGGCGACATACGTAACACGTCCCAACCAGCGTACTCTATGGAGGTGGATCATACACACACAAACTGAAGAACCTCGTCATTGTTCAGAAACGAATGACTGGACAAAATTTCCCCGGAAGCAAACTACGACCGGTTCCGCTGTTCTCGCCGTTCGTCCGGAATGCGTATCCGGTAATATCCCGTCACCTCATTCATATGTTTGTACCCAGGATGTTGAGTTTCGTCCTAACACCCTCATTTGCAACACCCGGTAATTTTAAATGGACAGCTCTTTCTGATCCAGTCCATTGAGCGGTCCATTTAAAATTAACTGGTGTGGCAAACAAGGTTACTGTGACGAAAATACACTTCCTGGGAACAAATATATGAATGGAATGACAAAAGGCTAATGGATACGCATGCCTGGCGAGCGGCAAGAACCGCGAAACCGGTCGTGTGCTTCC